TTAATAAATATTCTCTGAACTCTGGTAGCATAGTGGTTATGAATCGGGCTGTGAACCACAAGGTCAGCAGTTGGAAACTGTTCAAAACTACCAGCTGTTCCACGGGAGAAAGATGAGGCATTCTGCTCCTGTAAAGATTTAAAGCCTCGGAAACCCTGTACAGGGTCGCTATGAGTCGGAACCGACTGCACGGCACATAACAACATCAACAAGTGTCTCAGATACAAGCTTAGGCAAAGAAGCCATAGAAAAAGACTGCCACTGCCAGGAGAAGGATGGCATTGATGTTCACTACAGTCCTCCACAAAGGCTTCTCAGATGTGTCTGTCAGCTTCTTCTTGAGAGCTTCTTCCTCCTCTTTGGTCAACTTGGGGCCTTTCTTCTGCAAACCGCAGAATAAGTCATAAGCCCTCTTGAAACATCCTCGAGGTTTTTCAGGATTATCTGATGCAAGAAGAGATAAACCTATTATCACACAATGTGGGTAGCAGCGCTTGTTTTTCAGCTGACCCTGGTGTTCTTGGTGAGTGTAGTACCTATTACTATAAAGAGTGATCACAGCCACTTTTAAGGGTTAGAAGGACTCTTGAGAAAATACAGATAAATTTGGTTATATACATACAGGAAAATTGCACATGGCATAGAGTTCACAAAACAAAGTAAAAACATAAGTAACCGACTACGAAAACCATTTGCATCTTATATCACAAAGTTTGATATCTATAATATAGAACAAGTGTTCAAAAACTGGGATGAACAGACTACTAACAACCCCATATAAACAGGTTAAAGAAATTAATATACGGTTCAAAGAAAAAAAAAATATACGGTTCACTCAACAAGGTGAAAGTGGAATTGAAGCAATACTGAGGTATCATTCTTATCTATCAGTGGTGGCAATTCCAAACTTTTGCAATATATTACGTTAGAATTAGAACAGAAACTGGCACTCCTTGCCGATTTTTGCTAGGAAAGCATGCTTCAACTCCCACTGAGGAGGATTTGGCAATAAAATGATTAGAAATTGATCTTTTGGCCCCAAATTCAATTTTTCAAAATCAATTCTAAAGATAGACTGTCTAAACTATGAAAAGACTTATGCACAAAGCAATTTGTTGCAGCATTGGAATTTTTAAAAAAAATCTTTAAACTCAAATGTCTATGAAAATTCACAATGAAAGTAACATAAAATTTAGAAATAAATAGTAAGGAAAGTTAGCTGAAAATTGAATGACTATTAAAGGTTTACATTTCTTTATGCATCCATTTTGGAAAGTTAGATTTTGTAAGAATTTTGGTCATTTGGTACATGTTTTCAAATTTATTGGCATAAGATCTACTTAGCCTTTTCTATCTCTACTGCCTCTAGAATTCTATAGTCATTAAATCAAAATTGCCCAGTGGTTTAAAGCCCCCCTTTCTCTTCCTCTTTCACTCACATACACACACCAGAGGCTAATGGTATTGTTGTCAAAATACCAAAATTCCAGAGGAGATATCATTCTAAACTTGTTAAAATGTTTCCATAAAATGGAAAAATGGAGAAAATCCCAAATTTATTCTATGAGACTAAGAAAAATTATAGGCTAGTTTTACTTGATATACATGTAAAAACCCAAAATGAATCAAAAGCATTGACCCTTCTTCAACCCGATGAACCCAAACCAGACAATTAGTGTGTAGTTCAGGCAACAAATCTTGATGGGCTCACCATTGTGGTTTAAAAATATTAGGTAAAGACAGTGCCATGGAGTAACTGCTGAAATAATTTAATGAAGGAAATTAGAACTAAGTTTTAAAGAATAGATTTTTTTTTTTTCTTTTGGAGTTGTTACTGTGTTCTGTCAAGCCAGTTCAAACTGATAGTGACCCTGAATAGGGTTTGTGAGGAGCTAAATCTTTTTGGGAGCAGAAAGCCTCATCTTTTCCCTGTGGAATGGCTGGTAGTTTCAAACTGCTGACCTTGAGGTTAGTAACCTGACTTGAAACCCACTATGATGCCAGAGCTCCTTTTTCTTGCAGGAGAGGTAGAAATATCCTATTAAGTCATAAGTTTTATAATGTGAGGAAGTGAGGAAACCTGTCACCAAATGAAGGATACATTGTGGAGAATAGTGAGAAATAAGGTTTAAGGAGGAGGAGGGATTAAATGTTTAGTCACAATCAATCAAAAATGATTTCTTGAACACCTACTATGTGAGTTTGGAATTGATTGTCAGTTCGGTAGGAATTATGATGCATAATTCCAGTTATGTGATGAGTGGGCACACAGATGAATCGATTGAGTCCATATAAAGCAAACTTTTTCAGAAGCTAAATTTGTGTCAATTAGGAACACCCAACCAAGCCAGGTACACAGAGTTCTTGTATGAAAGCCAAATGTAAACCAGAGTTTACCTTCTTCAACATCATCATCGGCTTCTTCCTGTCTTTGCTCTTCTGCATCTAAATCAATTCGTTCCTCCTTACTGTTTCGCAGAGCCCAGCATAGGCGGTAGAGCTGACAGAGATCATATACAAGTTCATTAGTGATGGGGAAATACAGTCAGGTAAGGGTACTTTGGTTTATTGTATGATTTCAAAAAATCAAACAGCAAAGGAACATATAGGCCACAAAGAAAAGATTTTCTGTCACACCGACTTACCAAAACACTTTTAATGATTTCTTTAAAAAAAAAAAATTCTTCTGGTGGTGGTGGTGTTTACATGCCGTGGAGTCGGTTCCAACTCATAGTGACCCTGTATAGGGTTTCTGAGGCTGTAAACCTATACATGAGCAGAAAGTCTCATCTTTCCCCTGAAGAACCACTGGCAATTTCTACTGACTGTGAGATTAGCAGCCTGACTCTTAACCACTGCTATTCTCACCACTCTTCACTCTCATGTCTAAGAAGCATTTTGGCTGTACTGCTTCCAAGACAGATTTGTTTGTTCTTCTGGAAGTCTATGGTGATCTCAATACTTTTTTCCAACACCGTAATTGAAATGCATCATTCTTCTATAGTCTTCCTTATTCATTGCCCAACTTTTATAAGCATATGAGGTCATTTACATGCATATTGGATAAGCGTGACTTGGGTAAGGTGTACCCTTAGTTCTCAAAGTGACATCTTTGTTCTTTAACACTTTAAAGAGGTCTTTTGCAGCATATTTGCTTAATGCAATACATTGTTTGATTTCTTGACTGCTGCTTCCATGAGTATTGGTTATGGATCTAAGCGAAATGAAAGTCTTTGATAACCTCAATCTTTTCTCCACTTTTTGTTGTTAGGTTCCATCGAGTTGGTTCTGACTCATAGCAACTCTCTATAGAGTTTCCAAGGAGTGGCTAGTGGGTTTGAACCACTAACTTTGTGGTTTGCAGTCCAGTGCTTACAGTGCCATACCAGGACCCCATCGACATATTATAGTTTATTATTTATTTTTCTTCCCATCTTGATGATGTGTTCTTTGTAGAGTCCAGCTTTGTAGATGATTTGTTCAGCATGCAGATGAAATTAGTAGGGTGAAAGGATAAAACTTTGCCTGTATTAGTTTGTGTTCTCTAGAGAGTCCTTGTGTGGTGCTGTGGGTTGAAGAGCTGGACTGCAGGGTCAATTTCAACTGCAAGGTCGGTGGTTCAAACTTACCAGTCAACTCTCATTATTGCATATGCCATTTTGTTGAAGTAAATTTCTCATGTATGTTTATATGCTTCACTGGCTTTGTTACCTCTGTTGTTATTGTTGTTGTTAAGTGACATCAAATTGGTTCCGACCAATAGTGACCCTGTATAGGGTTTCTGAGGAGTGGCTGGTGAGCTTGAACCACCAACCTTGAAGTTCAAACTGATTTTGCAGTTCAGTGCATTAACCTACAGAGCCACAGTGCATAAGTACACAGTGGCTCCATAGGAAAAACACTGGACTGCAAACAACAAGGTCAGTTCAAGTCCACCAGCTGTTGCTTGGGAGAGGAGGCTTTCTGCTCCTGCAAAGATTTACAGTCTTGGAAACCCTAGACAGGGTTGCTATGAGTAATAACCAACTCAATGGCACTTAGCAACAACAACAGTACTTTACCCACTGTTATCTTCTCCACACGCTTAGGTATGTAAGCCTTAAGATTTCTTCTTTGCATAGACAAACACATAGACTTGCCAACATATATATAAAAAGGATACAGTGAAATCAGTAAGAGCCAGAACTTGATGGGAATGCCTTATTTTTCGTGGTTTTGCCTTTAACAAGATGTAGTCTTGCTACTTTGCTATAACTCTATATTAGTGGAAAATATTTGAGTTTTGCTTCTCTGGCAGGTTTCTGCCTTACATAGGTTCCAGATTTTATAGGTTTTACTGTATTATACCTGATTGCATTATTCTTCAAGTGTTTTCTTGTACTTAATTATAGCATGGGCATTTTTCAAAGCCATGAATAGAGTTCCTGCATGCTTTTGAACAACTGCAAAAATATTCAATGTATTTATGTATCTATTTATTTCATGGTGGAAATTGGGTTATCACCATTTCCTTTCTTGCTAGAAAAAAGAAACTTAGAAAGTCCATGTGTACATACACATTCCTCCTGTACAAGAATTTCTACATCACAGACTCCTACAAGGCAGACCGTTGACTCATAGAGTATGAGGATTTTAGAATAGAAATACTGACTGCCAAATCACTTTCTTACAAATGATACAAATTCATACACCCACCAACAGGATTGGGCATTTCTCCACACCCTCCCAACACTGAAAACTAAAAATGAAACTTCTTTGCTTATCTTAATTTGGAAAGCACATCTCACTGTTCTGTTTTGCATTTTTATGGTCACTGGCACCATATGCTTTTTCATCTCTGTGGCAGAGTTAACATTGTATGTGAAATCCTACTGCCCCAAACAGGTCCATCCCAGAATGACAGCTTTGTGATGAAGTCTTGCCCAGTGTTGTAGGTGACACTAATTATGCTCTTCTTCATTTTACCTATATAATGGTATAAATTATCTACCAACTGCATTGAGGATGATGCCCATTTGTTAACATATTTTTTAATTTATTGGTGCCTTGCACATACTAGGTGTGTATTGCTGTTGATTTAATGATTAGATGTTATTCTCTTTGGTTCTCTTTAACTCTACTGTTCTCTAGTGCTATTATTCCAATGATCTTAGACTTTGATTGCAGTTTTAGGAGGCAAAGAATCCGTCTTTAAAAATGAGCATAAATCCATTACTCCTTACTCACATGTACATCAGGAATGGGCTTGGTTATCAGGGAGATTCCCAGGACAATTAGAATGGTCACAAAAAAGAGGATGATAGCAAAGTAAAGATAGTGCACTCCACAAATAATCTTGGGACAGTTACTGGCAGCCAAGCAACTCCCCGTTCCATAGGCAAACTCTGAGATCATACGAATAAGGCCAATCACGAGTCCAGTGATTAGGCCCCAGAAAGCCCCCTGCAAAAGAAACAAGAATATAATCCAATTGATTAGGAAATATGAGAAGCTCATTATTGCTACTCATAATTTTCACCCTGCGTGCTTTGTTCACTGAAGGATCAATAAACAGCTAGTACAAACAGGGAAAGTTAAAACAACAGGTTCATGAAGTGCTCTCCGTGGTCCTGAAATATCATTGCTGTGTTGATTCTCCAAAACCAGAACACTGCTGTCTATGTTGACTGAAGATGAAAATTTCCTTGACTTTTACATACAGATTTTAAGAACTTATGAGCTATTTATATGATAAAACAAAACTTAGACTTAGGTTACACATTTTATAAAATTGATGTTGTTGTTTTAGACTCATAGTGACCCTGTATAGCATTTCTAAAGAGTGGCTGGTGGGTTTGAACTGCCAACCTTGTGGCTAGCAGTCCAGTGCTGATCCAACAGTGACACACTAGGACTTCATAAGCCTACAGCACCCAATATTTCCAGGCAGTCTCCAATTCAAATATATACAGACCTGACCCTGCTTAGCTTCTGAGATCAGATGATTGGGTGTAATCAGGGTGGTACATTGATATTGTTGTTGTTTTTAAGTGCTGAGCCCGTTCCAACCTATAATGACCCTGTATGGGGTTTCTGAGGAGCATCTGGTGAGCTTGAACCACCAATCTTGTGGTTCAAACTGACTTTGCAGTCCAGTGCATTAACCCACAGTGCCACACCAGGTCCCATTAAGCTTTTGGCAATTAAAAGCATTTATTTCTCTGAGAACTTGTGTCCTCTCTTACACTGCTCAGTATTGTTTAAGGGAAGCAACATTGCATAGTGGTGAAAATATGAGCATTTTACATAGCAAGACCTGAACTTCAATCACAATGACTCCATTCACTAATTTTAAGTAACTGTGTGAGGCACGGAGACATTACTCCTTTGATCCTGTTCCTCATATGAAAATTATAAAATAAAGCAAGCATCAGAGTCTTGATGTGGCTCTGTACGATAAGTACTGGACTGCTATCTTCAAGGTTAGTGGTTCAAACTTTTCAGCCACTTCTTGGAAACCCTATGCAGGGTTGCTATGAGTCAGACCTAACTCGATGGCACTTAACAGCAACAACAAAGCTAACCTTTAGGAGCAATGAAGAGATTAAATGCACATGGTCTATGCTATTGCTGTTAGTTCTGATTCATTGTGACCCCATGTGTTTTAAAATAGAACTGTACCCCATAAGGTTTTCAAGGCTGTGCCCTTTTGAAAGCAGATCATTAAACCTGTCTTCCAAGGTGACACTGGGTATATGCTTAACTATTTATGCCACCTGGGAACTTCATAATGATCTCTAATAATCAAACAAGTATATATGTGCTTAGGTACACATGTAATGAATATGTTTTTTTCCCTACAATTAAATATTTACTTTTTAAATGTTTTATTGTGAATTATGTGATAGTTTACATGGGAGAACACTAGCTTTATATTCATCCTATTGTACATCGTTTCATTGCCATGATTACAAATCCCTCCATGCATCATCAAGCAGCCAAAGGGTATATCCTGCAAGCCTGCCCCTCGATAATCAGCACACAGCCCCTCTCCCTCTCTGGGTCTAGAGTCCCCAGCTGCTCCATCTCTCCATGTCATCATCTCTGCCTCCACCTCTGGCATCACTGTTTCTCTGGGTAGGGTCCCATACTCCACTTTTTTCCCTTGCTGGTCCCAGGGACCTCCACTCCTAGACTGCAAAGTCAACCACTCCCCTCCTTTTGCTACAAAATGTCTACCTTTACATTTCCATCCCTTACAAGCAGTCCTGATAACAATTATTCACTATTGTACCACAAGAGACCTATCTACATCTCCTTTCATCAGCTCCGCCTAGACAGATTGGATGCTACTCAGTGGAGATTCTACCTAGCTCCATGTCCTCCAGATTGAGGCTACCTCTTGAAAGTTTATAAGCCAGTCACTTTTTGCCTTTGTAGCACCCTCATTTTGGGTAGCTAATGTCCAAGTTGCCCATCCTTGTCTACTCTGTGTATGGAGGGGGTGGGAATGATCCTCGCTGTAAAGATTTGTTCCCTCTTTTGAGCTACTGAATCCATAGGTGTAGCAGGTTGATTAAATTGTATCAGATTACTCTTTTTTCCCTTTTCTTTCTTCTTCTAGTTGAGTTCTGATCATCCAGCCATTGAAGTATGAATATGTTTTGAACCCTTATTATTGTGGTAGGTATCTTTCTAAGTACGTTATATATTTTATCTGAAATAATCCTAATAACAAGCCCATAAAATAGGTGTTATTATTTTCACTTTACAGATGAAGAAACAGACACAGAGAAACAAGTGATTTGCTGAAGTTCACAGTGCTATTAAGATAGCAGAGCCAGGATTGAACCCTGGAAATCTGACTCTCAAACATATGCTGTCCATCACTGTGTCATATATGTACATAGTACTTCATGGGAATAGCAACACTAAATTGTGGGTATGCAATATTGCTACACACTTTAGAGAGAATCAGGAATTGTGGCTGGCTAAAAGCAATATAGAAATTAGAATTGAGGTGTACAAATAGGGTGAAAAGGATGCATTATACTATCCTAAGGAAACATTTTTTTTTCTCATTTCTGCAGAAAAAATGTCCCCCAATTTCCACTTACCTGTTCATTGACTCTTTTACAGAAGATGGCAAGAAGGAAAACAGCTGCAATTGGAGGCCCAAGGTAGCTAGAAATGGATTCTATATAATGGAACAGTTGCCCATTTTGAGATATCTGTACAAATGGGACCCACAAAATGCTGATGACAATTAATAGGATGATAAATAACCTGTGAGGAAAAATGAGTTAAATATTAAGCAAAAGCCTTGTCAGTATGTTCATCATGATTTTGTTCTTGCCTTCATTTTTGTAGCCATTCATGGGGTTTCCCAAACAGTGTCAAGTCCTTGACTTTACATGAACCCATGCCACGCTTACTGATAATCAGTTAGCAGAATGCCAATAAAGCAGTTCCTTGTCTATAATTATCCATATTATCTTTAGCTATGCAATTAGACATCCATTGATAAAACAGTTCAAATGTCAGAAATTGGTCACTCCCTAATGCAATGTACATGATACACAAGGGCTTCAAAGAGTTCATGGAAAAATGGAATGAAAAGATATGGGGATTTTTCCATGAACTTTTTGAGGTCCCCTCATATATCAATTGGAAATAAACACCACATTATTTCTTTTGCTGCTGTGTACCATCAAGTTGGTTCTGACTCATATCGATCTTTATGGGGTTTCTGAGAACAGTTGTGGGTTTATTATCAGTCCAGTGCTTATCCTACAATGTCAAACCAGAGTTCATTATTTCTATTAGCAAAAAATTATTTGTATAATAAAGAAAGTTGGGAGTCCTTGTGTGGCATTATAGGATAAGCACTGGACTGCAATGTCAATTTGAACTGCAAGGCTGGTGGTTCAAACTCCTCGGGTGCTCCTCAGAAACTCTACACAGGGTCACTATGAGTCAGAGTCAACTTGATGGAACAACAACAACAACAACAACAAAAGACATTTGTGTCTATTTTTCCATGCAGGAAAAGTAAGTCAGTTTTCATAGACTAGAATTAAAACAGCTTCTGTCCTAGAATGTTGAATGATTTGGCAAGAAATGCTAAAAGTTGCATTTTAATACTCCGGTGCTCTTGCAAGTTAAAAGAATTGGTCAATATTTTGGTAAGTTAGTAAAAATATATTAGAGGTTCTTGAAGCCCATGAAGCATGACTTGTTCACATGTTTAAACTCCACAGTATTCTGTGTTTGCTGAGTGAACAAATACAGCAAAATCTGTGGGAGCCGGAACTCAACGAGACTGCCTTGTTTTTCTGGGTCTAACAAGTTTTCCACTTTTGACAGGATGTAGTCTTACGACTTTTCCATTACTCTATTAGTGGTACATATTTGAGTTTTTTTCTCTGGCAGGTTTCTGATTTATACAAGCCCCAGCTTTCACAAGCTATACTGTATAATTGATTGTTGTTATTAGCTGCTGAGGAGTCAATTCCAACTCATTGAGATTCTGTACAGTTTCTGATGCTCTAAATCTTCACAGGAGCTGAAACTCTCATCTTTCTCCCCAAGAGTGGCTGGTGTGTTTGAACTGCTGACCTTGTGGTGAACAGTTCAGAGCTTACTGTGCCACCAGTGCTTCTATATAATTGGTTAGACTGTCTATAAAAAGTCCATCATCCTTTGGGCCTACTGGACACAGAGATGCTGACTACATACATAGAACAACAAATAGGAGATTGTAGCATAATCATTTAAGCATTACAAAACTTCCATAACCTTCATGTAAATGAAATGTGATAAACCATGAAAAATTTTAGCAGAATGTCTGGATGTGTAAGAATTCAATAAATAACATGGACTGTTAAAAGCAAAGAGATTAGTTTGAGGACTAAGGTCTGTCTGACTCAAGCTATAGTATTTTCAATCGCTTTATGTGGAAGTAGACAATGAATAAGATACTACTGTATAAGAATCAATGCATTTGAATTTTGGTGTTGGAGAAGAATATTAAAAGTATCATGGACTTCCAGAAGAACAAACAAATCTGTGTTGGAAGAAGTACAACCAGAATGCTCCTTAGAAGCCAGGATGGCAAGACTTTGTCTCTTATACTTCAGACATGTTATCAGGAGGAATCAGCCCCTGGAGGAGATCATACTTGGGAAAGTGGTGGTACTGATGTACCTTCTTCTCTGCTTGCTTTTCTCTCCTTTTGTCTAAGATAAAAGGTGATTCAGAACACATCCTAGGGAAACTCCCCTTACATCACATTGGGGATATTACTTGAGTAAGAAAATTGTGTCCCACCCTAATCTCCCTACAAATTATTGACTGATAATATCAGATCGCATTATGATCATGGGGGATGATTACATCATTACACAACTGCCAAATTGTATTATTATTTAACTGTCAAACCACAGAATCATGGCCCAGCCTAGTTGATATATATTTTTAGGAAACACAGTCCAATTCATGATAGTACTCATGTGCACCAAGACAGACAAAAATTCTCAAGGCAGCATTATTTGTAATAGCCCCAAACTACAAAATATCCATCAACGGCAGAGTAGATTCATTGTAATATATATCTATAATGGAATCCACACAGCAAGAATGTCAATGGACTACAGTTACACACAACCTGCATGACTGAATATCACCAACACAGCATGAGCAAAAGAAGACAGCAGGGAATGCATATGGAATTCTCTTTAAATGTAATCCATACCTGAAAAAGACTAAATTATAGTGTTAGAAGTCACAGTGATTAGATTTGTAAAAAGAGGCCCAAGAGGTTTTTGAAGGCCTGGTGTGGTGCTGTAGGATAAAGCACTAAACCACAGATCAGTTTGAACTGCAAGGTTAAAACACCTAGCCACTCCTTGGTAATCCTGAAAGTGTCGCTATGAGTTGGAACCAACTTGATGGCACGTAACAGCAGCAACAAGGAGCTTTTGAGTGCTGGTAATCTCCACATCTTGACCTGATGTATGGTTACATAGGTCTCACTTTGTGATAGATTATTTGTGCTTTACATGCTTTCTGTATGTGTGTTATACTTCAATGAAAACAAGTAACTTTTTATTATGAATTAAAGAATTATAGATAAATCAGTTTTCTATTCAACAATTCATATACATTTTAAAATAGAAAATGTGTGAATTGTTTCATGTCATTGATTGATATCCCATAGAGCAAAGATGTCATTTTGAGGGCTAAAGTGTGCCTGACCCAAGCCATGGAGTTTTCAGTAGCCTCATATACATATGACAGTTGGACAACGAATTAGGAAGTGTATAGAGGAATTGATGCATTTGGGTTATGGTGTTGCAGAAGAATATTATAAGAGCCACGGACTGCCAAAAGATCAAACAAATTTGTTTTAGAAGAAGTACAGCTGGAATACTCCTTAGAAGCCAGGATGGTGAGACTTAGTTTCTCATACTTTGGACACATTATTAGGAGGGACCAGTCCCTGGAGAAGGATGTCATGCTTGGTAAAGTGAAGGATTAGCAAAAAAGAGGAAGACCTCCAACAAGATGCATTGGTAGAATGGCAGCAGCAATGGGCTCTCAAGTGTAGCAACAAATGTGAGGTTGGTGGTGGACTGGGCAGTGTTTCTTTCAATTGTACATAGGGTACTACACAATAACAACAAGGTAACAACACTTATCTACTTTCGCTCTGTGTTTCCCATTTTCATTTCTCCTTCTTTCTTAACCCTTTTGAACTGTGTCCTTGAGTGAATGCTGCCCTTTTGATCTCAAATAGTTGATCATTCTAAAGAGCGCACACCTTTCTAGTGCTATTGTAACCCTCTAATAAAACTGTCTGCTGTTTGGCTACAAATTAAACAATGGGGATGACTTCAGTTCAAGACCTGAAGGTTGATGAAAGGCCACAGGCTCAGAGGTTTCACCAGTCCCTCTCTCAGATCAGTAAGCCTGGGTTTTTAAAATTTTTATTTCATGATTTTGAGTTTTGTTGCACATTGTCCTCCCACTCTATCCAGAACCTTATAATATATCCCTTCCAGAGGAGTTGGTAGTGGTAGCTGGGCACCATCTAGTTCTTCTGATCTCAGAGTTATGGTGACTGATGTCTGCATGGTCCATTAGTCCATTAGACTGTTTGTTTCCATGCATCTTCAATTTTCTTCACTCTTCTTTTCTCCAGATGGGAAAGATCAATAATTGTACCTTAGACAATTGCACGCAAGCTTTTAAGACCCCACTTGCTATTCACCAAAGTAGGATGTAGAACATTGTCTTTGTGGGTTATGTTATGCCAGTTGACCTTGGTGTCCCCGAGACCATCCGCGGTCCTGAGGTCCCAGTCCCAGTGACTCATTCCCTTAAGAATTTGGTGATGTCTAATAAGTTTTCATAACTTTGTCTTCTGAATGTTCCACCACAATCATAGATATTTTTGTAGCAAAGGTAAATGCACATGTAGAAATATCCTTTTGAAACCTATATATATATTTATGGGTATAATCCTACTCTTGAGCCTGAGTATCAATTCATGCATCCACTTATAGTTCCCTGTTATTGCAGGATGGTGTATATAATAGTATTTACCTCTGTTGCCTTTTTACTCTTGCATTCCTCCTAGTGTCTTCCTCTGCCTCCCTTATTATACTTTAATTTTAAAAACATTTTACAACATACCATATAAACATATTTGTTATTGTTAAACTGCTGTTAAGTAAGTTTGACTCATAGCAACCCTGTATAGGATTTCCTAGGAGTGGCTGGTTGGTTTGAACTGCTGATCTTGCAGTTAACCATCCAGTGCTTATCTTACAGCACCACAACAGGACTCCAGAAAAAGAAATGTTGTGTATATGAAAATTATGTAGGGGAAAATAATATGTGATTCATCCTTTTTGTTTATCCCATTCCACTCTTATGCCTTTAGGGCCTCCAAGTTTTTCAGGTACCCTGTATTGACATAAAGCAATAGCAATTTCTTTAAAATTACCCCTTCTCTGAGTCTATCCCTTTCTGTTGTTGTTGTCGTTAAGTGCCATCGAGTTGGTTCTCACTCATAGCGACCCTGTATAGGGTTTCCAAGGAGTGGCTGGTGAATTTGAACTGCTGACCTTGCAGTCCAAACTGACCCTGTAGTCCAGCGCACTAACTCATAGTGCCACACAGGACTCCAATCCCTTTCTAACCTGCCTCAATTCTAAATGGATGCATTTCATAAATTTCTCTGTGGTAAAGCGTGGATGAGAATCTATTTCCTCTTTCATGTGATACATATAGAAACTTTGGGAGACAATGCATTGATCTCTAAGAATCAGAAATTCTAAATTCCATGAAAACAATTATTATGAAGATGTCATGGGATGTGGGGCTGAGAGGAAAGGAAGATGTAAGAGACAATCAGAAACATTTCAAAGTCTGAAAAAGAAACAATGTCATTTAAAGATATGTTTGTTATCTGGGAAGACATAAAATAAAAATTAATGTATTTACTAGGATGAAAGACCTAGAAGTTAGCCTTCTGAAAATCAACCAATGAAAATCCTATGGAACAAAATAGTTTGATCTGCAGTTGATTTGACCTGCAACATAATGACAACAAACAACAACAATGTACTTCCTCCCACTGTAGGATTCTCTATGAGTTTCACTGGATCCAAACACGAGGGGGCTCTAGTTCACTTCAACATTTGTACTTTTCCAGATAAACTTCAGATGGAAACTAGCGTTCTCTCACCGTCCAGCTATAAGGAGCTCTTTCTCTGATGCCTGCTTCCGCATCTTGGTGTAGAGGTCCATGGTGAAGAGGGTGCTGGCGCTGTTGAAGATGGAGGTCAGGGAGCTCATAAGAGAGGCCAACATGACTGACATCATCAGACCACGCAGTCCTGGGGCCAGAAGAGGGTGCAAGCACTGGTTAGGGGCTGGATGCCATGGTCTACAAGGGCCTTGTCCAAAGTCATTCAAAGATAAATGTGTCATCTGGAACTTTTACTAACTGATGTGCCTATGAATGTATAGCAACCTGTGATGCTGCCTATATATTTCCTGATGATCTGAGAATAACCCATTATAGGATTTTTTGTTCTAGATATACTCATATAATTAGAGATCATCTGTTGGAACCTGGTTTTGGAAGAGAGGAAACAGTGCAGCACCACCTTTCTTTGGGGAGGAACTCTTGGTCTCTTGAGGACTTGAAATAACTGGAGAGAAAGAATCCTAAGAGCTGGTCTGCTGAAGATGCCTTTGGTGGGGCAAAGTTAAGGGTTTTGAGACATGAAGGCAACTTCCTCCTTCAGTTTCTTTTGCCTATTAGTAATGCCGCTAAACCTCCTAGGACTAAGTGTGGAATGGAGTGTATGTGGTGATGTCACTTGTAGGTCATGCTCTCTTCTTCCTGAAAATGTTCATGTGTGTCGGTAGGAGAAAGGTCACAGACATGTTAGCCAACATTCATTGGGCCAGTGGTACAAGATCATCAGTTACTCCCAAGTCCCATACACTGATCTGCTTATGCTCCTTGTAGAAAATGATCACCTTCTAACTTTGTGTTGTGCTATAGGGTAATCACTGGACTGCTAACCACAGGTCAGTGGTTCAAACCCACCAGCTGCTCCTTGGAAAACTTATACAGGGTCGCTATGAGTTGGAAATGACTCTACAGCACATAACAAAAACATCCTTTTTAATTTATGCATTTAATATGTGCGATTACTTTTCCCTCTTACAAAGTAGAATATGAACTCCAAGAGCATAGTTAATTTTTTCGTCTGCTTCTCTGATGCTTCCAGGAATCAGGGCAATACCTAATTCAGATTGGAACTCAATATAACAAAACAAAACAAAACTCTACACAAAAACCCCACTTGTCCATAGAATCAATTCCAACTCATGGCAACCCCATATGTCAGAATAGAACTGCGTTTCATAGGGTTTTAAATGGTTGTGATCTTTCAGAAGTAGATTGCAAGGCCTTTCTTCTGAAGCACCTCTGGGTGGATTTCAACCACCAACCTTTAGCTTAATCAGTCCAGCACTTAACTGTTTGTGCCATTCAGCGACTCCAAGGCACTCAATAAGTCGTTATAAATCAAATAGATTGGCCCTAAGAAAGTAAGATAAATAGTAAGCCTAAATTTAGGATTTTATAAGTTTATGGCTATGACACTTTTTAATGGTCAAATAAGAGACCATGTTTCTAACTGGACTGTAGGACAGTCTTGAATCCAAAGGATTATGGATTTTTTTCCCTAGCCAGAACTGTGTTGTACCCATGTCTCTATTCCTAGGGCCCAGTGTAGGGCTGGAAGTCTAGAAGGTGCTCAAGAAATGTCTGATCCATTGAATTGGTAATAGAAGTGAGAATGATCAAGGATTTACCACCCCACATCCTACTGACCCAACAAGAATAGGCTTTCAAGATCGTCCCAGCACAGTTTCTTACCATCAGGCATCAGGTTCAGCACCAGCATTGGGTAGGCATAGTTAGTGCAGCCGACTTCAGTGCCACAGTATTTCATACACTCAGAAGGTACAACGCATGCCACCTCATCTGAGGAGAGGTTCAGAGGGGAGTTCACTGAGCTGGGGCAAAATAGCCATAACCCATGACCACTGGACAAAAAAACACGTTGTAGATTCACAAGGAAAGAAGACACCTGCCTAAGATTTGGAGACTGAAAGTTAGGTAGTCAATGTTGAGTGTTTGTATCATTGAGCTGGCTGATCTGAAAGCTGAACCTGATTCCTAAGTGTCCCATGCCTGCACCCTTGCTTGCACTGGCTTAAGAGACAGGGCTTTTCTTTGGGCTGAATGTCCCGCTGAGCATTAGAGCAAACAAAAGTTGCTTATACTATCTAGAAAAACAGCAAAGGAATACATTCTCCCTAGAATTCAACACGTTTCCATAGATTAAAAAACATAAAACAAACCTGTGTTTAGTCACAGTTAGCCCAATGTCTTTGATCTATATGTAAGAAGAGATACCAATTCTGCTGATCAGCTGGGTGGTGTGTGATGTCTCACTCTACTGTGGCAATTGCATAATACCTTGGTGACGGTTTTTTACTTAAACAGTATCATGAAGCAAAAATCGATTGTCACCTAGAATATTAGTATCTTTGAACATTACTTCTTTGCTTTAAAAATTTATTTCTAATCCATTTTCCACAAAAGAATGCCCTTTTTT